TTTTGCTCCTCTTCTTTGTTATTTTTGTTTAGCGCTCAATTTCTGGGCAACTCTAAGTGCCGCTTATACAAAATTATGCATATCAAGTTTATTGCTTTGATATATACGAGTACATATATGCATACATAAATGTGTATTCGTATGCTGCGTATGTGAGCTGCCAGTTTTGCATACTTGGCCATAAACTGCGCACTGATTTATTCGGAACAGCAGCATCGTCTGCGTACTGCTGAGCTGTTGTCTGCCATTTCCCTTGACTGCTACTTATTTTTATACTCTTTGTACAGCAGCTTGTATTGACTTGGCTCTCTAAAGAGCATTGAAATACCTATAAACATAAACGGTCTCGTACATAAATTCTACTTAAGACAGTAAAATGTGAAAATGAAAACGAAGCTTCTTATATTGGAGAAAATATAAGAATACAAGTATATAATATAAAAATCAGAAGAAATTTATTAAATTAAATTGTCAGACCAAAAGACTTCAGATATCAATAAAACTCTAATAACATATCTGGCTGGTAGGAAGAACTATGTTTACTGAACTTTGACGCTTACGAAAATTGCTAATGCTTCTGTCAGCACATTAATATGTTTTCAGAATAGCACAGAGTCTTCTTATTAATATAAAATTGAGTCTTTTAACTAATATTAATTATAGAATAATTATATTTCTTTCGTTTTAAAAACAAAAAACTTTATTAAGTTAAATAAGATATATAATTTAAATTTTTATAGTTTTTAAGCCAAAACTTCGATCAATAACAATATAATATCTAATATTAACAAACGTGGAACGCTGCATTAAGTTTCTAGAGTATTTTATGTTTGGCGCCTCCAAACTAACTTAGATCAGTTTTTATATTTCTAAGACGAGAATTTTCGCTTGAACGGCGTTTTCAACTCTTGCTTACCCTGCCAACTAGCTCTTGCCAAATGCACAATGCAAAGATTTATTTTCTGCTGACAAACAGCGCGTCATTTGTTGGTAATCGATGGAAATGAGCATAGCCATTTTTATAGAAGTACGATATTCTTTTTATGTTTGCTGCTCCACTTTGCCTGCGCAGGACGTTTTGTGTGCGATACTGATTATTGAAGCACAAATACACACACGCAGACACATCCACAAAGGCACATGCACACCATTCAGACGCACATGTGAAGACGGACCCGACAGACTGGAGCAGTAGACAATGTGCTCGCATCTGTGCTGCTTGCATAGAACTAACAATAAATAAGCATGGCTTGACAGTCGTTGAGGCGTACATGCGCACATACATACAAATACATATACAAACATACACTCGCAGACAAACACACCCGTACATTTAGAGGCAGTTTTATTGATGCCGACAGCAAATCAAGCGAAATCTTTGCAATTTAAGCTAATTTGTTATCATTTTTATGATAAATGCGAGCAGTAGACAAAATGAAATGGAAACGGATACACGGCGTATGCGTAATGTATATGTTAGGTCGAGCGCGCAACTGTGTATGATTATTTATATTTCGTGCTGCATACTTATTGGGGCAGTGCTTTTTGCCAAACCTATTTCCCTTTATCTGCCTGCATGAGTGTGCGTGTGTCGCAAATGCCAGCTTAAGCAAATTGAACGGATTTATGTTATTTATTAGCTAAAAGCCAACTGGTAAATATGAGCTCCACAAATAGCACAGTTCGACACAAACAAATGGAAATTTGCAATATGTTCGGAAGAAATTCGCTGAAAGCGACGGAAATTGCAGTTGAGACCAACACACGCCATGGGCCAGTCCATTAGATTAGCTTCATTTGTTGCGTAACAATAATTCAAATCGTAACAGTAATAGGTACCATGATCCCAATAATCAACTCCAGTATTGAAATTCTAACCATTTCACAAATGTACAAGCATGATTTATTTGTTAACGAAAAGCATGAAATTGTAGGCTCTACTTCACTAAGTTTGCCAAAGAATGTTCACTGCTACGTAAGAGAATAGCTAGCTTTGATTGATACCTACTCCTACATCGGCAAACCAAATCACTTGCACAGCAGCATGGATTTTTATTTCTTCAATAAATTATTACATGAAAATAAAACAAATGGCCCCTAATGCGCAATTTTCACAAAACAACATTAATAAATATATATGTTACACTACAGAGGTACAGCTAAATGGCTATTATGTGCTCAACTACTTAGATGCGTCTCCCCTCAAGATAAATGGTACGCCAATCATTGAGGTTGACAGAAAAATAAAATCTCGACCCTAACTATACTGAGAGCGCAGGGCACAGCTGCTCTCAATTCTTGTAGTTATTTTTTCCATTTAAGCATTAGAATACAATATTAGCTAAGATTTTAAATATTACTATTTACTTACTATACATGAATACAACAAATTTTTCCGTGAGATCGAGTTTTCAAACTTATCAATTATTGTACTCCCCATTTATTATCTTTATTTATAAGCTTTTAAAACTCCAATAAAACTCGGTCATTGCGTAAATTAAATCCCATAGGAATCAAAAGCACAAGTTCGATTTAACTTACGCGCATAGCTAAGCAGTAATAAAGAACTGTTGGAAACTTTTTAGTATCCCTAGCACTTGCTTTTAAAAAAAGCGAGCAACCTAATTCAAACTTTTCAATTAAACACCAGATAACATTAAAATGTTGCCAATTGAAAAAGAATAATTGTACGCAAAGTTTTCAAATAATGTGTATGCCATTTTCTAAATACTTTCACTCGACTCTGATCCGCAAAGTTACGAAAATAAACACAATAAAAATCTCATTTGAGAGGCAAAAATATGCGATACATTCAAAAACGCGTAACAGGCTCATAAAAATTGTAGCATGGAGAACGAAGTAAGCATCAAAGACAAAATTTATGCAGTTAAAACCAAAGTCTGAGCTGTAAATTGTTTTTGTAGCCCGTATTGAAGATACACACACATGCATACCAATACAAATATGTAGCACTAAACAAACGTTAACTGTTTAAAATTCTACATTTGTTGTTTTGGGAATTTTCGCGTTCCTCTTCTGCTTAGAAACTTTGGCACTTTTCAATAATTTTCCTTGGCGTCAGTCGCGCCCAAGGCCTCTTGACATGTGTGTGCTCGGTGTGTTGGATGTGGAAGGCAGAAAAAGCGTTTAACAGCGTACACGCACACACACATACACACCAGCACACGAACATAGGCGCAGCAATGGCCGCTGCGGCAGCAAACACGCATAAAGCACGTTAAAAGAGCATAAGGAAAAGGGAAATGAAAAGAAATAAAGAGCGAAATGCCAAACCAAAAACAGAAGAAATAAATAGAAACGAAAAAAAACACAGCATATAAAAACACAAAAAGTGGTAGTGGTAAAAACAATGGGTGGCAACTGACAAAGACGTTGCACAGTGGGGCAGGAGGCGAAAAGAGTAAAGTTTTTCTAATTTCTGAAGATAATGTTAGAATACCGGTGGGGAAAAATGAAGTCCTAAATTAAGAATTTACATATTGTTTAAAGATTTTAGTTCTGCTTATAAATCGTTCTTCTATTTTAGTTTAGTTATTATTCTTTTTTTGATAAAGAGAAAAATATTGATACCCCAAAAAGAAAATTAATAATGCAGGCAGGGATAGAGAAGAATATATACTTAAATGTATATATCGATCCGACAACTTGTAAGCCCCCCACCATCGATAAGTATTGCCTGTGAGTCAGAAACGTTTTACTTATATATTGTGGGAACGAAAATAAATCAATCAATCAATAATAGAGATTATTCGATATTACATTCCTTTAATGTTTGCTATCAATGGTACTTCAAAGTACTTTGACAAGTTCCATTATTTTGGCAAAGCAGCTAACTTCCGGTTTACTTGTGGATTCCTTGATTTTATACTTAACCTAAATTAAAATATATCTTTCTTTGGGCTTCGGTTAGTTGGCACCCTTTAGTGCACACATTTATTTGGATTTCTCAGTTTAGATAAAGATATTTTATTTTTTAATGGAGGAACGACGCTTCAGAGCCGCTGTGCGACGACGACGTAACGTCTGTGACTAACAGCTACTAAGAGGGGTCTGTTCAAGTGCGTGAGGATGTGTGTATGTTTGTGTGTGATTGTGCAGACAAATACAAAGCTGCTTACTGTTACTTCATAGTTGAGGTGCGATGAAAGAGGGGGAGACGGGGAGTGAACATTTACGTTGTCGCTGCCAAATGCTATTGATTTTTTTTTGTATACACACATTTGCGAGGCTGCTGCGCTTTTTTGTGCCTCCTCCGATTTGTTTGTTCGACAACGCTGCTTAGTCCAGGCAGGTGCGTGCGTAAGTGTGTGGCATGGCTAAGCCAGAGGCAAGAGTAGGAGCTTTGCAGTAGCCGGCAGCCTGTTACGACGCTCTTAAGGCAGTCAAGCGCGGTCGAAGAAGGCGAAGGCGATGATGTGGACTAGCGCGAGGGCGAAAGCGAGGGCTAGGACGCAAACGACGGAAAGACGGCAACTGCTACTACAAATCGGATTTGCGTGAGTAATTGGCACGACAGTCGTTTGGCCAAAGCGTATTGGAAAAAAAGACAACAACAAAACAACAGCAGGAGCAAAAGTAGCTGAAGAAAAGGCAGCGAAGAAAAAAAGTTGTAAAACTTTTGTTGTTGCCATTATTGTTGCTGTTGTTTGATGGGAAACCTCAGCAACGTTGCAAAAGGTGCAAACGAGTGAAAGCGAAGCCCACGAGGAGAACAACAACAACAGCAACAATAACAACAGCAACAAAAACTTGGCAAATAAAAGCGCAATTACGTTATGTGTGCCAGCCAACTCACACACAAACAAAACCCACCCACTCATACACACTCACACTTACACACACACACATAGAGAATTTTGAACTCACATTCTCACACCCCCCGTTCTTCAGGGTTGTCAAATGTCAGTTGTCAGCTTAAAATGTATTAAGTAAGAGACAAAAACAGTGAACTGAGTCGAGTTGAGCCATTTGGGACTTACCTCATCGATAAACTCAAAATCACCGCCAGTTTCGCCCACATATTTCTTCTTCTTGGCCTCGACATTGCCAATCAGGCAGGATGACATCAACACCACGGCCAGACAAACGCTGGCAATCAACGCCAAACGCTTCATGTTTGTCTGTAACGGTGACTGCGACGGTGACAGCAACAGCGACTGCGACTGCGACTACGACTGTTGATAGGCCTCAAAGGGAACCGGAGACGATGGAGATGTTGGTGACGCTGACGTTGACGCTGACGCTAGCGTAGACGGAAGTGGCGCGCTCTGTTGACGTTTTCCGTTTGACGCTCAATAATTTTACCCAAATGTGCAAGTATATGGAGATGGAATTTAATTACGAATGTCTGGCTGAAGGTCTAGGCAGCGCACTCGGCACAACACACGCTGTGTGGGAGAGGCGCGGACGGGCGCGAACTAAGCGGTGACTTCTCAAACGTTCTCACTAGGTATGCAAATGTCACTGTAGCGCTAGTCTCGTGGAAAACTACAGCAAAGTCAACGCACACACAGACGCACGGACACACTAACAATTTGGCAATGGGAATTTGCTGCTACTTTCTGTTTGCTTTGTGCCTGCTTACTAGCTGGCTTCCTTGCTTGCTTTTTGCACTTTGCACTGCAATCGAACGGGAATGAACCGAAGGCGACGCGACCAAAATATAAACTGAACCTTTGTGGCTACCGCACTGGCCGAGAACCGTCAGTCGTCGTCGCGCCGCGCCGCTCCATTGGAATTTTGCGACAGCGCGTTGTGTTGAGCGCAAATATTTAAAACGCTTGCAAAGAGCACCAAAGGATATCTAAGAGAGCGCAGGGTTGTCGTGCTGCCGTGAGGAAAACTTATTCATGTTTTCAATACCCAAGTCAAAATATGTGAAGAAGGTTTTTTATTTTTCCTTGATAAATAATGTGGCGTATTTGTTTTCCAAAAAAAAGGAAAACCATAGAAAAAAAATGTAAATGGGTTTTAAATAAGGAATCAAAAGAGCCTTTAGAAAAAAGAAAATTCTAAACCTAGACTGCATTTTGCTTTGATATGATTTTATAACTTCAGCTTCTTGGAAACTTTGGAGATACTTGTACAATTCATTATTCGAAATAAACTAAATAGACTTGTGTTGCCAGGATATTATGAGATTCCAAGTTACCAAGTTTGGTGAATGTGGCATAGCCGCCACCGAAATCCAGGCGTTCATCCAGACAAACGGGCATGTCAATTATTACTTTATGATGTCGGTGATGCTTTCTTCTCCATGTCACATATTTTCCACAAAGGTAATATACTCTTTTTACCCTTTGGGTACAGCTTATAAAAACATATTAAGAGTAAATGCAACTAAACATAAAACATCAGTCACCCAAGATTGAAACACATATTTCCAACTCTAAGAATTTATTTTTCTAATAAATGATTAACAAGTTTTTAAAGCCTTTATTGAAAAAATATCGTTATTGAATAGTAGAAGTAGTGTTAAGGAAGTCTTAAATAAAAGTGTACAATTTAAAAATTGGAAAATATGCTGTGAAATTTTTAACTTTCAAAGACAATGAAAAATGTAATGTTTTTAAGAAGAAACGTTCAAAGGTAACTTACAACTCCAGCTTCAAAATAAACTTGGGAAATGCACAGAAAGCTTTCTGTTGATAATTTTTTTATAAAACAAAAACGTTTTGTAAAAACGAGAACAAGAGCCCATCGTATTCGTGTTTTGTATTCCGATTTCTTCCCAGATACTACATCCGGGAGTGTCAGTCCACGAAATTTTTGATTGCTCTGCTGTAGCATGCAACGTATATCGCTACTACTCTGGGCCGTGCTGATGGTGGGTGTAGCGGCTAAGCGGAGCACGCGCTTGTTCCGGCTACGGCGGTCGTCGGCAATATGGGGGTGGTTCTTCTTTATGGCCGCAGTGCTACCTGCTCGATCGCTAATATTTAATGCCATTAAAATTCGCGTGCTTTTATTTACCTTTTTTTTTTTTTACTGATATTTTGTTTTTTGGTATGTCTGGAGGAAAGTATTAGAACGGAAAAGAAAGCGAGTACGGAAAAACTAAATTGTCGTTGTAAAGGGTTCTACCTCTGGTCTCTGCTGCGCTGCTGGTGTTGCGTCAGCAGGTTCGGTGCCCACCCTACCATGATCACCTTTGGCCGCAGGTCGAAACCGGTGATCCCTAATATTACCAGAACCTACGTCAAAAACCCACCTCTCGTCATGGCTTCTAACAAATTACGACGCGTTAAAACATCATGGTGTAACTATTCATTTAATTTAAATTTTGAATAAAATTCATTTAGATAACTATTCGTGGTGGTTAACCATACAATAAAAACAATTTCAACCTTGCTTATCAATTGTACAAATTCATATAAAGATGTATATAATGTAAAGGCAAATAATAAAATTTATAAAATAATAAAAATTATGGTTAACAATTTAAAAATTCAAAGGTATAGGTGCAGCATCAGGGCAAAATAATATGACTGGCAACTTTAAATAATTTAAAGGAACTTTTCCATATTCAAAATTAAATTCTTTTAATTAAAAATTTTTTTGTAATTACTATAGACAGCAAGTGGCCTGCCGTATGCAGCGAACATATGACAAACAATATATTTATCGTAATAATAATTCATATATATATATTGTTTGCCGGTTTGCAGCACCCGCGCATTCGCCCTCAAACACAAACAACAAAAAGGAAAAAAAAAGCTCTCTCAGAGAGGCGGAGTAAATAAGTAAAGCGAGTACTCACATTCACAGCTGGTGGATCCACGTCCAAAAGATCTTTTGTGAGCGGCGGCCAGCTGAAAAGCAGAACAATATTACGCGAGAGAGGCGGCGGCGTCAAAGCAAATTGCTGTACATTTTTTTTTTTTTTCACTATATTGGTGGTGTTAAAACTTCTTTTCACTTTTGCCTTGCGCTAGCTCATATTTTGGCTTCTGCATATACATATGTAATATTTCACTAATTTGTATCGCAATATATGCACTATAACAAAAAAAAGAAAAATGACTTCACAGAAAAAACAAGTAAAAAAGCTAAAGTCGGGTGTCCCGACTTTGAAATACTCTGTACATATGTTTACAATAATTATAGAAAATAAAAAAAATTAAGAAAATAAAAAAAAAAATTTGATCGATTTTACCTCTCTCGGTATTCGAACTCACGTAAAGGGTGTATAATTGCACATTTACATAGCAATTGCGTCTGTGTGAGTGTATGTATGCCTATGCGCATCAATTCGTGTCTGTGTAAGCATTTTCGCAGTCAACCAAACAGCAACATCAACAACAGCCGCGGGCAGCGCTTGAGCAGCGCTGCAGCAGCGCTGCATCAGCAAATATATTTATGGCTATAACTTCTTGTTAAATCGGTCTATCATAATGAAATTTGGCATACGGACATATAATAACTAACTGGGGGTATTTCCAAAATTTTAGTTCGAAATTCCAAGAATTACGGGAGTTACGATTTGCGGGGTAGAGGGGGGAGGGAGGGGAATTCCAAAATATACATTTTCTGCGTATTCACATAAGGCATCTGGGACTAAAATTTGGTGTTCCTAGGTCTTATAGTCTCCGAGATATAGGCGATTATACGAATGGAAAATCGGGAAAACCCCCATAGGGGGGAAGTGGGGGGGAAAATCAAAAAAATAAAACAAACTCGTATAGAATACACACATAACGCATCTTCGTGCAAAATTTGGTGTCTCTATCTCTTATAGTCTCTGAGATCCAGGTGTTCATACGGACGGACAGACGGACAGACGGACAGACGGACAGACAGACAGACAGGGCTAGATCGACTCGTCTCGTCATGCTGATCAAGAATATATATACTTTGTGGGGTCTGCCACGCCTCCTTCTGCCTGTTACATTTTTCAGCTCCCGCAAACCTAATATACTCTTGTACATTTCATGTACAGAGTATAAAAAATCCAAACCATAAAATAAAAGAATATATAACTATATATGAAATGGGTGTCGTCTGCGCCCTTTTTAAGGTTAGGGGACGGACCCTTAGCCAAATTTTGTCGCAGCTTCAGCTTCAAGCCGAATCTTCCAAGTAGACCCGTGGCTGGCCCGTTTGACGCAAGTTATTAATTCCCTTTTCGGTGGCCCGAGGTCAATGACTCCACTGGGTGAAATCTCATAAGCAGCTGACTCGGCACACTACGACCGAAACTAAAAATTGAACGGCACGCGGCGACTGTCGTATATAAAGGCCGACGGTGAACTGTCGCCTATTTCATCAGGGTGACGGAGTCGGTGCAGAGCTTTTCGGGGGGTAGGCTGCACTTGTTCTAATACCTCGAACAAAATAGCAATTGTGCTTGAAACTGCAATTGTGCTTGATTTTGCACTTGTGGTGCCAATTCTAAATATAAGAGAGCCTTGTTACAAACAAAAAAAACAAATATATATATGATGCCAATAACCTACCCTAACTGGAACAGCACCACAAATTATGTGAACTAATTCCCTCGGTTCCGGGTGGGCTTCTATTGCTTCATTCGCTCGCTCTAAATTAGAATTACATTCCTACTAATCAACACATATGGAAATGGTGCAAAAAAAAGCAAAAAGTCAACACTAACCTTGTAAAATTTGCAGGCAAGACACAGACCACTTACTGGTAAATACGGCGCTTGGACAGTGACCGAATAAATAATTATATCTCTGGGCCACGTTCACCACAATATTACTTTTAAATAATCTGATATAAGTTAAACTTTTCCACTTATAATCGAGCTAAGCGCGCACAACTGTTCACTTCAGGGGTCGAAACCAAAAAGGAAGAGCTTGACCAACATCGAAGAAAGGAAACCTTTGTTTGCGGGAATTCCTCCTTTCTTCCGTCCTTTGACAACGAGTGTCATACCAAAAGAAATTCTTGATGACGTTACCACTTTCACTATCCACCAGAGGGCGATAAATCCTACGAAATAGGAACAACCAAACAGAAGAGAACCAAAATAACTCCTTTGCCTACTTCTGGGCTCAAAAAAAAAAAGAATTGAAAAGCGGTTATGCTGCGCGAGGCAAGCGCACTACACTGCTCATACCATAGATTTAGATTCATAGATTGATGGCTCGACTGTTAATTGCACTGCAAAACGAGATGGAATGTGTAAACAAACGGAAATGAAAAATGCCCTCTTGAGTGATTCTAGAATTAAATTTCGTTAGTACGGTTTTCTTTGGATATGTAACTTGTATTATGTTTATATTTTGCGGGTAAAGTGTACAATAAAACCGAACCCTGTTCCAATTTACTTTCATAATTAGAGCATTAGACACTTTTTATCGCAGTGTAGGCCACTGGGCATGCGCTGTCTCACTGGGAGAAGGCGCGAGCAATAACTGCCCAAAATACTTCCAGAGCAACCCACCCAGAGCGGATGCAAGCTTGCATAGCACCAGCGAACCACACTCCCTTCCCCACCTGCCCAGCTCATTAAATCGATTTTCCTGCGCTCTTAGAGTTTGGCGCGCTCTTAGAATGTCGCGCTTTGGCGCACTTTGTTGGCTAGCTGCGGGTCGTGAACCTACTGGCCACTGACGGCGCCTAACGCGCCAGTCCCGAACGGACCTCAATAGTTGTCGTAGTCTTGCGTAGTTATTGTTGTTGCTGTCGCTGATTTGTATGTATTGAAGCTGGTGGCACACTTGGACGCTGCAACCGCCGCAGATGATGATGATGAGGATGCTGCCCTCCTCCCCTCCTGCGACAGTAGCCGGGAAACCCCGTAACCATTTAACGCGTCAGCGCCTCGCAGGCTCCGCAGGCTCGCAGGCTTGCCGTCGTCACATAGTCAATGGTGCCCTGTAGGCTATGTCAGTTTCAAATTAATAGCCAAAGCGGCACACACACACACCCAAATACACATACACATGTACACACAGATACAAAGTGGGTGTGCATGTTTGCCTTTGGTATGCCTACGCTCTTTGAGTGCCCGACAGCCCAGATTCTAGTCTCTATTTTAATGGCATCATTGACTTGTGCTTTGATGACGGCTTTGCTTTAACGTTCCTACTGCTGCTCATGTGTGTTTCTGTGTATGTCTTTTGTATGTGTGTGTGTTCCCCTTTTTCTGAACTTTGGCGCCATGGCTGCTTTTGAGTTCTTCAACTCACACTTGTGCCGCTTTTTGTTGGCAAATGCTGGACTTGTTCAGCAGGACTCATTGTATGGCTTGTTATTGTTGTTGCTGGCTGGTCATTCATGGCCGATTTAGTTTTTTGGCAGCAGTATTCGAAACGACAGCTTTAAAATTTAATGTAACCCCAAACAACAAACATGAAGAAAATAAATGGCTGCACTCACATCTTTCTCTGTTAAATTTGAATTTAATTTGATCTCAAAATGATTTTCAATCAACAAGTCCGTATGGTACCTATTTTATTTTAAATACTTAGTTGCTCTTCGTAGTTTTGGTAATTTTGTGATTGCTTACAGTTTTTGTGTGAAGAGAATTGCAGCAGGCATATAACAGCATTAGTTGAATTTATTTTGCTTGCTATTATTCATGTTTGTATATATTTATGTATATAAATTTACAAATTTGTTCACTGACTTATTAAAATTGATTTCGATATTCCTTTCTATTTACTTCTTTATTACGTATTCGTTAAAATCTATTTATATTTGTTCTGCCTAAGTGTTAATCATTACACATTCACTTTTTAGTGTTTGTTCGTTACATTATTTGTTAAATCATAATATTCTGATTTGCAACATAAACAAAAATACACGATATATAATTAATAATTATTTTTTGGTTAATTACAAGTCTTAATTGCTTTTTAATGGAATTGCCTGGAAATTGTTAGTATTTAGGATAGAAAAGAGTCCGGAGTTGGTTGGAAAATAATGCGACCTGTTCTTTTTCTTTTCACTGGTTTGTGCAATTGCCAATTGGTCATTGCCGTTTGATTTTAGCGCCTTAATTTTGACTAAATGTTCATTTCGCTGCTACGTAAAATTACATTTGTAGCATCGTCTGATACGACTATTGCAACTTTTATGCTTAAATATTATGGCTGCGTGTATAAAAATATTCAATCCAAATTTATTGAGACTCAATTTATAAATGAACTTTCAGAGATTCCATGCGCGACACAATTCGACGACGCAGTTCAGCATATCTGGAAAGAACGAAAGGACGTTACAGACAGTTAAACAAATGAGCCAAACAAATTTAAAATACTATTCCATATTTTCAAAGTCTGCTAAAAACTCTCTTAAGTCAATAATTGGCGCCCAATTTATCTTCTAATACTCCCTTTTTAATGGGTATCACATATAACAGATTATCTTTCACTATTTTCCAAATACAAAAAAAAAGAGTATTACTTGTATTCATTCCCCTAGTAGACAATGTCCGTCGTTAATTCACCAAAGTGTTGTCTTGATTCTGATATATCTGGAATCCATGCAGACGGACATGGCTGCATCGATTTCTCTCGTTATGATGATTATGAATATATGTACGTTAAGGGGTTGGAGATGCTTCCTTCCCCTATTACATATTTTGTACAAATATACCCTTTATAAATTGAAAATATTTGTGGACGTTTTCTTTCTCATTCCTTAATTGTAAAAAAAAAACTGTACCTTTCTTTTATTTTGGCCACTTCACGTGCCATTTCCTGATCGTAGCGATCCAAAATAGAACGGCACTCGGGGAGGGATAGATTCAAAAATTGAGCAACCTCATTGCTGTGAACAGAGCGTGTGTTAAAAGAGTAATTTAAAGTGGCTGGCATTAATTACTTGCCTGATTTCATCAGTTTTGCGCGAATCCATCAAAAACAAACGTGCGACGTCCTCGTGCGGACCGAGCGTGACACGCGTAATAAGCGGATATTCATTATCCTTGAGTCGTTTTTGTTCACCATTGTCGCGTATGATAAAGAGTGAGAAATTCTCTGGCGCACTGTCTACTTTATACTTCTCCAGCACCAAATTAATAACCTCCTGTGTGGTGACCAAAGATGTTACCCACACGGACATTTGTGAGCCGTGCGGAGGCGTAAAAAACGAAGTTTCCCGATTGTAGAAATGTCCATTAATGGAACAGCGACGTTTCAGCTTTGTGCGAGAACTGTAAAGATTGTAAAGTTTTGAAAAACAAATAAGAAATATGTGCAAACAAAAGTGGATATCTTTAAACATTTTATGGGCCGTTTTAAAAATATTATGGCTTGTTGTAGTTATCAAATGACATATTTATATATCAAACATGTGCAGCCAAAAGGAAAACTTGAATAGCGAAGACATATTTCAAAAAGTATATCAAATTTTAAAATAAAGCTTTTCCGTAGGGAAACTTACCGCCTATTGCCACTGCGTCGTTTAATTGCTGCTGCCCCCGTGCGTGGCGGTCTTCGAAGAACCACACCATCCTCCGTTACGTGCAGCGGCTGCTCAGAATTCGCAACATCATTCGCCGGAGTCCCCGCAGAAGCCGTAAACAGCTCCTCCGTCTGCGTCAGCTCATCGCCGGCCACTGCGCCACTATTCGTTATGGACGGGGCTTCATTACGACTTGATTCACCCTCGCTGGCCCCTTCTTTGGCATAGCAGTTCATTTGGATTTGTATGAAGCGTTGAGGCACATCGCTGCGTCTTATTGTTGCCATTCTTTGCGGTCGCAATGTTGACTCGTCGTCATCACTATCGGAGTAAACGAAGCATGAAGGTCCTGACTTGGAGCGATTTATCCCCTTCTCGAAGACCTGACGCCCACGCTGAATTGAAGGGTTTATTTTATGTTGCTGATTATTGTTATCCCGGCTGACAGCATGAGAGGCGGAACCACTTTTCTGCAGCGCATATTGACGCTGTGAAGAGCGGGCGGAGTCAACACTACTTCTTAAATTCATTGTGTCGTTGATGAAGTTGGGATCTATGGAGCGCAAGGCATGCTCACAATTAAAGCTTTTGCTCATGGCTGAATTTTCACCATAGAGCTTCAAAGAGTCGTGTATGCGAGAGGGATCAATGGGTTGATTGCGCTTGAGCGTATCGTCGTTGTGTTCTTGAAAAGAATTGGCACCATTTACGTAATCTTGATGTACGCTTCGTTTAAAATCCTCAAAGTCCATGGCTTTGAGCGTCGCATCGTCGGAGGTCTCATAATTATCCAACGAAGTGGTTGTAGTTGTGATTGTCGTCGTATTTTGTGTATTCGTATTGGTAGTCAATGAAGCTGTAGCCGTCATAAAGTCATCAGACGAAGTCTCCGTCGGTGTAGAGTTGGTTGTTGTGCTCGAGGTGTTGCTATTATTGTTGTTTTGCGTGGCAGTCGAAGTGGGCATCGATGTATCATTTGGATTAGTGCTATCCGTGCTATTTTGTGCTGAATTCGTCTTCGTGGGTGAGCTATCACTGGACGATGTCGACGACGAAGAAGGCAACTTGACGGGCATCGTTTCGTACATTTTATCCTTGTCATTATGTTGTCTCTCCACCTGCAGTAAATCATCGATCTCATCCCAATCCAATTTCTCTAGTTTGTCTAGCTTTGAAGGCAATGTGCAGGATACACAGTTGGTGCTGTTGGTATTAGCACTGACATCCGATCCAATTAGAGTGTTTGATGAATCCGTCGTAGTGGTTTCTTGGTCGTCCTCGTCGTTGTTTACGCAACCATTGACATGACTACCAGCTCCACCGCCCGTTGCCGTATTAGCCGATGCATCTTCAGGTGTTGTGGGCAATTCGGAGACCTCATTTAAACTGCACGAATCAAACGTCATGCTCTCCGATAGCGATATGTCTGTCGAAAGACCTTCAACCTCACTGGCTGTCGTTGTGGGTGCAGCCAGGGATTCACTACCTTCGTTTTCCTTGTCGGACGTGCTGTCCTGAAGTGCAAATTGTTAATAATTGTGAACAAGTATTTGCAATGTCGCAACACAAAAAAATAAAACAACTTACATCTGCCGCCTTGGATGAGCGACACGAATTGCGTTTCCGTACGACAAAGGTGCGTTGATCATCGTCCTCCTTCAGATGTATAACACCCTGCACGCCCCAATAAACACGCAAAGCACCCTCCAATATGAGTCGATTGTTCACCTCGCGACTGCGTATTTCCAGACTTTTATTGTCGTAAAATTGGTTGTAAACCTGCATAATATAATGATATGAGTGCTTACTCATGGGAAGGACATAGAAACTATTAATTATTTATTGTTACATACCTTGAGCTTAGACTCTAAATGATCTCTCGGCAGTGAGGGTCCATTGCCTTGAGCCACGGGCTTTTGTGCACCTTTAACTCCATAACTTTTGTGTGACTCAACGCGCGTGCCGTGGCCAAACAATTGTGGTCCGAACAGCGCGCCATAACAGGGCACATGACAGTAAGGCACTCCTTTATGCTAATGGAAAACCAGATGCAGAATTCATATATGTACATATGTATACCAAATGACTGTACTGTATGTACATACATATACATATGTTGTATTCATCTGTATGTCGTATATACATACATATATACATATTGCACAAAATTAAATTTGGTATTTACCTCAGCATGCTGACCAGGGTTTAGACGCTTGCCGCACTCATCGCAACGCAAACATTCTGGATGCCAATCGTAGCCCAATGATTGTTTACGTTCCGCTGTGTTAAACAGAACAAATCGAAATAAATAAATAATATATACATAAATATACCTATGTATATCCGTGTGAATGTATGTAGAATGTATGTTATCTAAACAATGGCACGCGCATCTCCAGCATGCACTTTGAACATGCGGTACATATGTATGTATGTATGTCTGTTTGTATGTGTATTTATATGTATCTGCATCTCAATTACCAAAGTAAACGGGTTTGCCGCACTTGTGGCACTTCCACATTCCGCTGCTACTGCTTCTGTTTCAGCTGTGAGCGCCAATAGGTCAGGTCAACGCTTCCTGGCGTGGCGCGACGTAGGATTGTGGGTGTGTGTTGGTATGCGTACCAACAACAAAAGGGGGGCGTATTCGCGTGCACTTGTCGTTACAGCCACAGCTTCTACTGCACACACACACACATACACAACGGACACAAACACTTGCTAAGTAACTGCGACAAATACACGTTCTGGTTTATGACGCAAATTTACGACGAAACGCCAGGGAAATTTATGCAAATTAACCAGGTTGAAGTAAACGCGAAACGCAAATAGAACTTAAGGCAAAGAGTAAACATGAAGAGAACGGAGGCAGCGACGTCGGCTTATTTGACCATTTGGTATCTAAAATTCATATTTAGCGTTTTGTTTCCATTGTTTTATAAAAGAAACTTGCACTGTGAACATTCAAATGCCATGTACAGAGTGCGTGCATTGAATAACAATTACTTTTTTATGAAGAAATGCAGCTATAACTACACAAAAACAGCACCAAGCAAGAGGAAGTTAGCAGAATAGAGATGGGCAACAAAAAATATCTGGAAGTTTGTTCACCGAGTCGTGCAATTAAGAGTCACGTGATAATAAAATGTTAAAAAGCGCGCTACAACTTTTTTAGTACAGGCTACAAATTAGACCAAAATCGTCCTGTATACAAATGCAATGTATTATAAACATAAAAATAGATACATTTCTAAAACATACAATAATTCTTTAGTAGCATACTGACGGCTGTTATTAAGACAAAAATTAATTATTATCGTGATACAAACTTCACGATGGTGCCATCGCTAAGGCAGAACAATGAAATGTGTGCAGTGTGCACAATATCAAAATGCTGACCATTTTGACCGCATTTTACAGCACTTATCTTTGGGGCTCTTTTAGTACATTTTTGTGTGAGTAGAAGAAAGTGAGTACTGAGTAAATTTACTATTGTTGTTGTTGTGCGTCGGAAATTGTGTCCGTGTAATTTTGTGTCCGTGTAATTCATGTTTAATTGTGTAAAAATTAATTATTGTTAATTGTGTGTGTTCCCGCGTGATGTATGTTGAAAATATGAGCGCCCCATTCCCGCTAAGCTGGTCATAATTAAGAGCTATCTAGAGCAAAGTAGCTCGAGCAATTCGAGCGCAAATCAATTAGAAGCAACAGCTGAAAAGCCAAATATTAAGGCACCCATATCTCAAATTTGTAAATAGCCAACTGTGCAAGTGCTTGGCCAACACAGTGTGTGTATGAGTGTTTATGTGTAATAATGCGCGCCACAATTGAATTTGAGGAATGTCTAAAGGATACGCCAAGATTCAGGTGCGTATTGCTGACCAGCTTTCCCTTTTCCATCAATATTTGTGTTCCTATGTATTCAGATATTACAACATTACTAAACTCCCCTTTTTACCACAAAACCCGCACCGTTCCAAACCAACGGACGCTCCCATTTGTTTGTCTAACAACGTCAATTGGTGTTCTATTTCCGTACTTGGCTTGCGAATTTGCCATATTTACATTCATTCATGCTTTGCTGGCTGAGACAGGGAGGCGCATTTCGAAAAAGGAGGCAGCTTGTAAAATTGTTAGGGTTTACGCTTATACATAAAGTATATATAGACGTACTTAGGTATATACATACATGTATATGTATAGCGTGACTTGTCGTTGTTTGGCGCTATCACAGCAGCTTCGTGGCTTCCTGCCCTCGCCTAACCCTGTCATAGTCATCACAGCACCACAGCTCAAATTTAGCTACATTATTGTTGTTATTGTTAGTTGTGCTTAATCATCCATCGAACAAGCTTCACACTTGACATCCAGTTATATACAGTCAGCACTTTGGAATGCGCTTTTTTTCTACACTTTCGACAGCATTTTCATAGCTAAATTGTTGTTACTTTGGAAGTTTTCTTCAACATTTATTGCTTGTCTCTTCGAGACAAAGATTGATAAGATTTCACCTAAATTGGTTCTCTGGCCTAATCTCGCCTAAACAGAGCTTTCGCTCCACCACCAACCACAAAACCATAAATAACAACATGAAGTCGTTTTTAACCTGCTCTTGGCAAATTTCGTTTTCGTTTATACATTTGTACAAATACGTACACATAAATACATACATATGTAGCTGCTTTAATTGCAATGCTTGGTGCCGCTGCTAAAAAAGCAACAAAAAATCAATAGCTTTCACAGTCACTCAACAGGTTCTTTCTACGCTAAAACTAAAGTTATGTTTAATTCTGGTTTTTGACAACAAAAAAAATCAAAATCAAAAGCCGCGCAAGTCGTTCGGATCTCTCCCATTTAATTAGCAACACAAATAATCATTTAGTTCCACTACGTAAGCAGCATAAATTAAACAGTCAACATAAACAAGTGACAGCCAACGAAAGCAGCTGAGTAGGCCACCCTTGCCCCTCCTCTATACATACATACATACATATATATATTGGTATGGTGTCGATGCCGGCTGCCCTGCTGACAGTTGCTGTCTGGTGCTGTTCTCTTCGATTAAACACCCAGATAATATTTGTTTTGAGCAGAGGAAAAGTTAATCGGCACTGACAGGCGCTGCTGATGGGCCTGACAAAAGCCATGGCTTTGTCTCTGACTCTGTCTCGGGAGCGTTCATGTTGTTTACACATTTTGCTAACGTTTTCAATTAATTCTCAACACCCTTCCCCACCTCTCACAGACAATTTGTGTCCAAGGAGGAGGCCGACATTGAGCACTTGGAACAGAAGTTGGAAAAAATCATCAAGCTGTGCAATGTGGCTGTGGACTCAGGCAAAGAATATGTCAAGAATCAGAGGTAACTGCGCAATTATCGCTCTCAGCGTGCAGACATACATATGTATATACTTGTATATATATGTACATATTTATCCGGCTTTTATTTACATAATGCGTCTTTTTTGCAGCGCATTTGCCATGTCCTTATGGGACTTGCAACAGCATTTTCTCGATAATAAAAATGCGCACAATGCGCTCGGCAAGCTGATTCATTGCTTCCAGGTTGGTCGCTGCGGGCATTACATCACGCGCTCAGCTTAAACTTTAATAACTGACATATTTAATACGTATTTTATATTTTGTAGGAAATGAACAAGTTTCATACGATTTTATTGGATCAGGCTTCACGTACTGTATTGAAAAATCTCAACGTGTTCGTCAAAGACGACATCAATCAGGTGAAAGACTACAAGGGACACTTTCTAAAGGTGTCCGAGGGCTATGACAATGCTTTGATAAAGAACGCGCAGGTAAAGAACCCTCTTATAGATAAATAATATACTTTATATTACATACAAGTATATAAGAACTATCTGTTTGCAGCACATGATTATTATTTTCGATTCGAAGAGTTTCAAACTCAAATAAAATCGTAAAGTTGGAAGAAATATCATAAATTAACAACATATCTGAATGGCATTGCATTTGAATTGCAGCACTTAATTAAAACTTTAACAGTGCTTCGCTTCAGTTGATTCTATAATGGCCATCAAATTCTTTGAACTCACCTTTCAATACTTTGAAGCTGATTCATTCTAGAATTTCCTTATTTACGGGGCTCTTATATATTCACACATATTTTAATTAAGGACCATCAGCAAGTTCTCAGATGTTTCCGCATTCATTTTAAGGCTTTTATATTCACTCAAATTGTTCTTTCCAATTAGGCGAGCAAAAATCGACCGCAGGAGGTTCAGGAGGCAGCCAACATTCTGTCGGCGTCCAAGTCATGTTTCCAACACACCGCCCTGGACTACGTCAACTATATAACGTTGGTGCAGTCACGAAAGGTGCCATCGATACTGTCGACGGTGAGTCGGGGGGACAGCATTTAAGTAACCTAAGTCGAGTCGCTATCGGTCTTATCTATTGGGTAGCTGGCACATGAATGAATCGGGCGTCGCATAAATAACTTAACGGCACAAGTATTGTTATTGTTATGACGTCACTGCTGCGATAAATACATATCGAAGTAAGTGATCAGTGAGTCAGTTGGCTCATTGCTGATTTCAGTTCACTGTCAAGTGGCTATGGTTTCGGATGTGCTGTGGTGAAAAGCTGTACTAATAAAACAATTGAAACTATTGTTTAAAGGCCATTCCCATATTAATAGAGCGCGTTCTTTCATATTACTTGGCTAGTTGCTGGACTATTATCAGGCGTGCGTGACTTATTACCACCAAGGCTTCGATTTGTGCAACGACTTTGATGAGTTCTTCAAGAACATCACCGACGACTTGAATGTGATACGCGGTGATTATCAACAGTTGGAGAAAGCAATGCAGAATCGACATATGAGCGTGAATCGTTATTGCGACACCAACACGAATAGCGCCTCACACAAGGTCGAGGGCTATCTGTTCAAGAAGAAGTCAAAGGGCTTCAAGACGTGGTGCCGGCGCTGGTTCTACTTGAGCGAAAATCAGCTCGTCTATAGGTGAGTGAGGCACATTAATAAGCGAACATGCGAAGCCCCAATTAACTGATTTCAATTGGAGACAAGTTTCGGAACCCAAAATGTCTATGAGACTCAAAAAGTATATACATTCTTCAATTATTATTTACATGCAACAACTTTTGGTCACTCATGTGCACAGCTTACAGTTTAAAAGCATGCATGTTATCATATCTCCAGAACATTTACTTTTCAGTTGTGTATAATGTTTATATAATTTGTTTATAAATTGTTACACTACATTGTAAAAAGAATGTCATTTCATATTACTGATACTTACATTCGGATTGATTGAGTCCGATATCATGTTTTTGGTGCTTCGTATAAATCGAACTTAATTTTTTATATATATGCTTTAGCTGACCTGCTCTCATTGCTTGCTCCTCACCCTTAACCACCTTACTTTTGTTTGCCATTTTGATTTTCTGTTCTAACGTACATAAACTTGTGTTGTTGTTGTTGTTGCAATTGTTGTTGCGTGCTGTACGCTGAAGTGATTTGGATTCGCATTGCAGAAAACGCAGCAATGAGGACTCGTTCTCAGTGATGGAGGAAGATCTGCGCATATGCACTGTGCGGCCAGTTAACGAAGGCGATCGTCGATTCTGCTTTGAAGTAATCTCGCCAACCAAGTGAGTGAAACGCCCACCTAGAGGCCACGTAAGCTTATTAACCTATGACCTCCACTTGCATCTAAACAGATCGCACATCCTGCAAGCTGACTCGGCGGACATGCTGTCCCTGTGGATATCGGCGCTACAGCACAGTATCGGGGCGGCAATACAACACGATTCACAGCACTCGCGTCCACAGTCCACGAATGCACCGAATTCGCTGACATCGAAGCGGAGAATGTAAGTGACACGTAAAACATTGGTAGCGATAGATACAAGTAGTACTCTGAGATGTTTCAAAATTCCATTCATTTCCTCGACTTTAAGACTGGTATATACACTCTAAATGTATCATAGATCCCAATTCGTTTACTGAACTCCTTATTATTACAATCTTTAGTTTGTTAAGTGTTGTTGTTTTCCATCAACTATTGCATTTCAGCCTTCTGGCCGCTAGTCGAAGGTATTCCTTTTCCCTTCACTTGAATTTTCGCTTATAAATACTGCAATGCTTTTGGCCTTAAATCTGGCTGTAACTTGAGCTCAGCCCAGAACTTCAGCAGAAAATAATGAATCACAAGCCCAGTACGGAATTTCTTTTCCATGCATTTGGGAACTCATGACTCAATCCTAAAACCATATTTAAGAGCAGTCTACTTCTTCTTCGCTAGATTCGATTACGATCTGTATTTTAGAGAGTTTTATAGAACTTATACTGTTATTAATATCGGCTAGGTTTAATGGTCTGATGTCTGTAAATCATTTACGATCATTTTTCCTTATTCCTTATTCGACAGCCACTGGGAAGAGTTTCTCAAGATACCAGGCAACGCGCAATGCTGCGACTGCCGTGGACAGGAGCCCCGCTGGGCTTCTATTAACCTCGGAATCACATTGTGCATCGAATGCTCCGGGGTGCATCGCAGTCTAGGCGTGCATTACAGCAAGGTGCGCTCACTGACGCTGGACGCCTGGGAAACGGAGAATGTAAAGGTGATGATGGAGCTGGGCAATGATGTGGTCAATCGGATCTACGAGGCACGCATCGAGGACAACTGCGAACTGAAGCCGCCCACGGAACAATGTGAAATTGGCGTACGCGAGGCCTGGATAAAAGCCAAATATGTAGAGAAGCGGTTTGTGTGCAGCATGCCCAAGCCGCAGGAGTTGCTGGCCAGCGAAACGGCCGAGGTGCTGTCCATCGATAGTGGAGGGGATGCGGGAGGCAGTGGCACAGAGGATGGAAGCGGGATCTTGGGCAAGCACACCACACTCTCTCTGAGTACACGTAAGTGGACTGTGAAGAAGCTTCGTCGACGACGACAACAAAGACCTCTGCCCAAAACACTGAGTGATGAGCCCAGCATCTATAATACGGCGAATACGGGGGACGAGGACGAAGATGACGATGACGAGTCCCTCAACATACCATCGATGTCGTTAAGTATATCGGGTGACGACTTGCTAGACATAGGCAAAGAGCTTGCGCTGGATAGCTATGTAACCCCCTGCATACTGGGTTCCGATCAGGAGAGCACTGAAGGGGAGTCCGATACAGAGCCGTTGGATGAGGTGCCTTTTGCCCAGCTCGATGCCAATCTGATGCTATACAAGGCGGCTCGGGTGCATAATCTGCCCGTAATGTGCATGGCGTTTGCCCTAGGAGCGGACAAAAACTGGAAAAATCCGCAGGACCGCCAGCGCTCGTCCCTGCATGAGGCTGTCTTGTCGGGATCAGTGATGGCTTGTGAATATTTGCTGCTTAATGGCGCCTCTATTGATGCCGTTGATGAGATGGGCTACAGTGCGCTTCATATATCAACCGCTAAAGGACATATAGCTCAAGTGTACTTATTGTTGAAGCACAAGGCCCAATACGATCTGGCCTCGAGTGATGGGAAAAAAGCGCTGGATATTGCTGTGGATCAGAAGAACGCCGATATTGTAACGCTGTAAGTAAAGGCATATCTATATAATTACTACCTACATACATATGTAACTATTGGTGGTGATAACAAATTTGTGTATGCGACAGGCTGCGACTAACTCGCTTGAACGATGAGATCGGCCTCAATGATGAGTACAACGGGGAGGATGAGACATACAAGGATGTGATGAAGGACTTTTCGAATTTTGCCGCCAGTCAGCCGCGCTTGTTGCGCCAACGAAACGATTCCAACACTCTGGAGTCTCAGCGCTCCTCACTTACCAATTCAGATTAGCAGGAGGAGGATGCGGCTGCCGCATATGACTCGAAGCGTATCAGCAAGGCGCGCAAATGCTAAACGCTAATTCAAATTCGTATTTTTTTATAACTGATTTAGTTGGTGACTTACTCTGGATTGTTATTGGCTATATATGATAATGCAGTTTGCTTCCGAGAATTGTTAGCATTTAAAGGACGTTGCTGTTGCTGTCGCTGCTTCTGCTTATAAACTCAACCAAACATTCGTGTGTATGCGTAAATATTGTGTATATGTATGCTTGTGTTTCTCTAGGAAATCTCATTTAACTACGATTCCATGACGCTAATGCATTTTAAAATTGTGTAACCGTGTGTATGAATGTATTTGCGGAAGCGCACTATATCTCCTCGTCTTATTTGTTGCAAAGTTTAGTTTAAGCTTAAAGTTTAGTCTGAGAACTCAGCACGTTGCTCGTATTGTTTTGATTCATTGCTTGTATACTTATATAGAATTGTTTATTTAAAATCTATACTTATACATATGTGTATTTGCATAACGTATTGTACATTATAGCTCTACTATGGTATTTATTAAATTATCGCGATATTACTATGTAACTAGATATGAGAAAATCTTTTTCAAATATTTCAAACTTGCATTGTTAACGAATTTTGTTTGCTAAAAGCTTTCCTGTGTGGTTTTCACTATTTAATTAAATTGTTTATCAATTTTGTGCCAAATGTTGTGCGGCACTTCAAAGTTCCGAAAATAAATTTATTGATTATTCCAAAAACTCTGCGATTCCATATTAATTGGTATTTATTATAGAAAATATAATATTTATTGTTCCAAATTATTCTATATAATTACATATATGAACAACTGATTAACTAAAACCTCAGATCTGAGAGAATAGAAAATCTGAGAAAATATAAGTGGCGCTTAGAATAAATTGAGTAATTACATTAATACAGTTTTCTAAAATCTTGTTGCTATGGCTACTTAGAGGAGGCTGTCTCGGCCTCCGACACGTATCCGTCAATCACTTTATTCTTAATATTGTGCACATTCTGCACATGCCGTGAAACGGAACTGTGATCGCTGAACTCACGTCCACACTCCTTGCAGGCGAACATAACGCCCGCGTGCGTCGAGAGGTGGCGACTCAGACCAGAAGCATGGCTAAAACTGCTCGGACAGAGGTGGCATTTATGCATATTTGGTTTCTTCAGGTGTAGCTTTTGTATGTGCTGTCGCAGATTCGTTTTTTGTGCAAACCGAATCGAACAATGCGGACACTGATGTCGTTTCTCGCCTATACGTACAAAATATTTATGTAAGGAAATTGAAAAAAACAATAGTGAGATATTTCCCGCACCTGTGTGAGTGTCCATATGCCGTTTTAAGACCTCACGCTGTACAAAGGATTGGCCACACTCCTTGCATTTGTGCGGCTTGACTCCAGTGTGTATGAGCAGGTGACGTTTGAGGGAACTGCCACAGGACACTTGGAGGCCGCAAACCGAGCACTTATAGCCTCGGCCGCCCTTCGCGTTTTTAACGTGTATGTTAAGGTGTCGAAGCCACGACTTCTCAGTAGCAAATTCAGTGGGACACATCTGACATTGAAAACTCTTGATGGTGTCTGTGGTACGTCCAGCTTTATTAACGGGCTCTGCAGCTATCTGCTTACTGTTCTGCTTGACCACAAAATCGCGACGCGTGCGTTTTGCTGGCAGTTCGTGAACCGTGGCCGAGTCGACTTTCATATCAGGCTACAAGCAAGAAAATTTGAGTTATGTTGATAACAATTCACACGTATTTCACCCACCAAGATATAGACATTGTCTTCCAAGTCGGAGAGCTGCAAATCATCACTAATGTCGGCATCTAGGTTTAACACGACAACATTTTGGACCTCCGCGTCTTTGTCACTGCTGAATTGTATGTCGCCATTATCCTTGACTGTAACAAGAGTAGAGGCATTTTATTTAGAGTCTACATTTTTTACGTAACACCTACTATTATAGGATGTAATACTCTTGTTTGTCGGCTCCAGGTGGTATTCTTTAGTGGACTCCGGTGTCTTGTCTTCTACGGTGCTCTTAATAATATAAATTTCGCCATCAGAGCCAAATATTCGCACATTATTCTCTTTCTCTGGCACCCCGTCCAATACATTCGGGGCTACATCTTCTACATGTTCTGGTTCTGCCTCATTCTCTGGCAGAAATTCTAAATCACTGTTTTCAAGCATATCCTTTTTTACACGAGACTTCCGCTGCACTGTCTTCGGTATTGCGGTGCAACGACGATTTCGTTTACGTGCTAGGGAGTGCGTTTCTGTTTCTGTAACGGATTCTGTTTTTGTTGGAGGTGCTATTTCTACCATGTGTGGTACTGGTACTGTTGGCTCCTTGGACTCTGTAGGTATCTCATCCACTAGCTCCCAAGAACCCGCTTTCTTTTCATTCAAAAAGATCTCCAACTCTCCGACAAGTTTGGCTATTTGAACCTTGCGAACCTCTTCCTGCATCTTATCAAGCAACTCGCGGTGCACATCGGCACGCACCTCCTCGCGTAGTTCCTGACGCACCAGCTCTGTTATTTCCACACGCATGTCAACCTTCAAAGCGTCCAAACGTTTCTTGAAGTCCTCTTCCGTTTTCAATTTGTATTTATCCTGCCACTCGTCTCGGCGTACTTCCCTTTGTGCCTTTAAAAAAGCCTCGGAATCCTCGAATTCGAGTTCATCCTCATCGTAGTCTTCCACGGATTTGTCGAAGACGCGACTTTTCTTGCCCAGCCCGAGCAGCCGAATGTGTTTGCGCAACTTTTTGTCAGACATCTGACTACGCTGACGAAAAAGGTAGCACATTTCCAAATTGTAGCGACAGTCCGCACATATTTTTTGTGGCATGCCATCCGTAATCTTCGCTTCCACAGAAAGACAAGTTATTATTCGCATTGGTATGGACAGTTGTGAATTATCATCGTTAAAGATGGGGAAGGCTTTGTTGTACTTCTTTAGGCACAAGCGACACAGAGTGTCAATGTCAGGATAATCGTTGCCCGTCATTTACACAATAATGCCTATTTTGTACGCACTTAATGCAACTACAATTCGATTGCCTTATGTACAGCTACAGACGCCACGCTCGAATAGTGTGCGAAAACGATGACAGTGCTGCGAAACACAATTAAATACCCGCCAAATTCAAATAAACTACAATTGAATTTTAAACAAGGCGTGCAACTCAACTGCATTTGCAGCCAATTTTATCATCTTTTTGCCACCCCAATTATTAAAATGACCGTGTGGCGCACTGTAAACAAAGGGGACCCATTGTCATTTGAAGTGAACTTTTGGTTAGTTTAGATTAAATGAGCTTCAGCCTAATAAGCAAAAAAAATTCTATTTTAAAAATAAAGTGTCGTACAAATATTCGGCCAAAAATATCAATTTTTTTGTTTTTCTCTTGTAACTAAAGAAAAACAATTTAAAAAATATTCCTTTTGTAGCATAACTTATATTTATATTTATTGATAAAAATAAGTACATAATTAATAATGGTGTATAAATGTTAACCACACTACGTATATGTATTGCTCTAGAAAAAAAATTTCCCAAAAAATTTACATTGCATTTTCGTTACATATAATTAATTTACATTCTACAAAAAAAATCTTTGTCAATTATCCTTTAAAATACTATACATTCTTTTCTTTTACATTTAATGTAGACATATTAAAAGTTTAACACATATGTATAAACGTGGTATATAAGTGACGAATTAGTTCCAGAGTTTGGTCACACACATATGTATTGTATTGTATTAAAAATACACTACAATTCAATAGAGATATACTTGTACATATTAACTTACATTCTACAAAAAAAAAATATTATCAATTATCCTCTAAACTTCTATACTTCTCTTTTACATTTAAGTGTATACATATTAAAAGTTTTACACAAACACATATAAGTTTTATGTAGGTTAGTGAGTTCCATGTATTTAAAAAAATTCCCTTCTTTAAATCCATGTCCTTATTCGGGAACTGGATCCGCCTGCGGGTTAGAGCCTCTGAGACGACAACGTATACAATTTTTCCATGGTTCCTCACCTAATGAGGTATGCCGTTGTGTTGTTTTGTAACTATTCCAGGCACATGAATGTTTACGACACACTCGTTCCCGGATTTTCTGGTGGGTTGGACGCCGTATAGGGCTCTTAAATTTCCCTCTTTTCTTTCTATCTTTGTTTTTTAAGGGGGATTTTGGCGATGATTTTGATGTCAAGAAGGTAGCACTGCTGAAGTCTTCACGTAGGTATCTCATCTGGTTGTCTTCCATGTTGATTACAACCATTGGTACCACCTGGCTAGTTCCAGCATTGGGTTGAGTTGATGTCGAATCCTTTGAATGAGGCGTATCGCCCACCACATTTTCTTGGGATTTGACTTTTGGATCAAGTCCATCGTCTGAAAATAGCTAACAATTTAGTACAAATCTGAAAGGTGGAAGTATAGCGTGATATACCAAGCAATTCCACAGAGCTATCCTGATCAGCTTCGTCATTTCCTACATAACAATCACCAACCATAGTCGAAGTACTTTCCAGTTCATGGGTTTCTGAATCAGAGATAAAACCCTCTGAATACTGCTGACCACCGTTTTGGAATACTTCATTTCGTTTGCGCGAGAGGAAACGTTCCAGCTCGTAGGAAAGGTCATCCAATACATTTAATCGGCACTGTCTGCTAGCTTCTGCCATCACGAATTCCTCCACCTCGTTACGCACTTCCTGCTCAATTTCCTCGCGAACTTTTTGTTTGCAAATGACCAATAACTCCTTCTTGTAAGCCTCAATCTCGGAACGAATCAGTTGCGCTGCCTCCGTCCGCCAGTTAGCAGCACTTTCTGTACAAGCTGTGGGAGTGCATGGCACTGCGTCCAGCTCTAAAACGGCATCGTCCTCATCCGCAGTTCCCTCAAGCAAACCACTCTTTCCAAGGCGTTTTATTCGTCGCAGCCGGCGATCCACTGCATGGCAACGTTTTCGAAAATAGTAACACTCTTCCAAACGTACACGACATGTGGCACAAATGGCCTGGGGTAATCCATCGTCGGGTTGCACTTCCAAGGCAGCGCATGTTATAATTCGCAAAGGAATTGTGCTGGTAAAAATAGCAAAATTGGCGTCGTCTGCGAGGCACAGGCGGCAAACAGTAAGCATCATGGTTTTATATGTGAGAGACAAACGTAGTGAAACGGTACGCTGGAGATATGACCATGAATGATTACACCAAACAACTTTGTTGATAAACAAACAACAAATTAACAAAATTAAAATTAAACGTTGCTCTCACTTTGCCGAATGCGTCTCTCACATGCATAGATTGGCAGCCCTATTATTGATACTTTTTTGTAAAGGGGTATCGAGTAGATATCGACCGTTTGATGGTAATTTATCGTTGCTTTTCTCATATCAGCTACGCTTGCGCGTTCAAAGCAATAAAAAGTAACAATTAACAATTTTTCAAACTGTTAAATTGGTTAAAATTGTGCGAAAACCATTGTTAGTTGTGTTTTTGCATACGATTGCATATTTGCGCTTGGCGAGTGACTATAATAAATTCCAGCTGCAAAGTGTAACAAGATACGTCTGCTTTGTTGGTGTTGTTGTTGTGCTTAAGTGTGTGTGTGTGTGTGAGAGAGAGGGCGAATTTGTATTACCAAAAAGGGGCGGCAGGCTGCTATTGAGCACAAACCGCATTCCAAGCTGCCCGACAACCCGAAACCAGCATCAATGAAAAAGGTGCGTTTACTTTGAAAGCTGTTAATATAAATTTGTAATACAATTTATTGGTTCTGCAGTGAACGCCACACAAATGCATCATCATCATCCGCCATTGCCCATAACGAGCACAGCTGCGACGGTTGCAGCAGCCAGCACCAGTGTTGTGGGAAATGGAACGGCTACAGGCAGCACAGCTCAGGCCACAGCTTCAGCAACTACTTCGAGCCAACAACCGCCGCCTCAGCAACGACGCCGCAAAAAGCGTCCAAACTATGGTACCCGCACAGTGGAGGTTCGACGAGGCTATAACGGATTTGGCTTTACCATATCGGGGCAGCAGCCGTGCCGTCTCTCATGCATTATCAGCAATTCACCCGCTGAGCAGGCAGGTCTGCGTGCCGGTGATTTTCTTATCTCTGTCAATGGCCTGAACGTGTCCAAGCTGCCCCACGAGACAGTAGTGCAATTAATTGGCAACTCCTTTGGTAGTATACGCATGCAAATAGCTGAGAACTACTACTCGGATAGTTCTGATGAGGAAAATGCAAATGCTGCGTTGCTCATGCAGCAGAATGTGCGCGGCGCTCGTGGTTTGCTTACAGCCAGCTTGGGCAACGGATTGCGTTCGAAGCCACGATTTTTGCATCACAAATCTAAAATGCATCGATTAAGGAATTCACCGCAAAAGAAGCCGAACGAATCGACAGTCGAACGTGCCCCTCGTCAAGAAGCTGCAATCGCGGAAATGCCCGCTCCATCTGCTGCGCCAGACCAATCGCCCTTAGTTCCTGTATTGGAGGATGCACCTCTGGGCTGTCTCAGCAAACCCTCGAATGTGGCAAATGTAAGCGCCATGGTGCGTGCTGCTAGTGCCACTTTGGAATATCGTGTGCTTGTTGGCTACTTGGGCACCATTGAGATGCCAAAACAGATTTCTCACAGTTCCAAATTGCAAACGGTACGCTCCTGCATACGCAAACTGCGTCAGGAGAAACGCCAACCAACCAATGTGCTCATGTGTATACTACCTGAGCAAATGCGTCTACAGAATGCGTCTGGGAAGTCGTTGGCCACGTACCCATCGGCCCGTTTGAATTATGTCAGCTCGTCATCGGAGAGCGAAAATAGGTTTTTTGGATTGGTGACCAGCGCCGTGCACAATACACTGATCGAGGAGGAGTACGAAATGGAGCCAGGAGCTAATGATAAGGCCAATTCAATGGCCCACATTTGCATCTCGCACAGTTGTCATGTCTTTGTGATCGATACTAAGATGATTGATCATCAACAGCATTTAGCACGGGCTCATGAGTTTCGCTTGCAGTGCACACGTGATCCCATATCTAATTTGTGCCTCGAGTTTCCAAACAACTCGGAATATGTAGTGAATCTTATACGCAGCATGTACACCATGCGTATCATGCCGCAAGCTACGCGCCCAAATCTGCCAGATAGCTTTGAGGCGGGCGCTGGAGTCGCAGCGGGAGCTGCAGCCGCTGCTCATTCGCCACAACCGTCGAATCACAGCGAAATCTCCACAACCACTTCCAACTCTGACTCCGGTATTGGCTTCAATAACGACTGCACTAACATTTCAGACCGAATTCTTGTCGTGGATTTTGCTGGTCCACTGGCGGCTCAAGGGGCAGCAGCACCACAGGCACCTGTAGCCTCAGCTATAGCGCGTCCACTCGGTATCTTTGGTATGGACAACATGTCAACGGGACGCGCTGATTATTTGAGTATGCATCCCATGCCCGATCCAAAGACACCTACAACATCATCGTCCGGGCGTCGCCCCAATTTGTTGGCCAGTTTCAATCTCATCAAGAGTCCGGCTACCAATCTGACAGCAACGCGTTCCTGTGACGATGTGTTGAGTTTGCTGGCCGGCACAATTCAAGACAACGATCCCGCATTGCTTGCAGCTGCTTCCATGGACGATATATCGCTGCACTCGGTAGTTCCATCGCTAGACGAGACACAAATGTTTGTGCATCCGTCCTACATTTCGGCTTCGAGTGCAACACGCAAATTACGCCACTCGCTTCAGCCACAGGGGACTGGAATTGGGGTTACAACACCTCACAAGGTCAGGACTCAAGGGTCTAGTAAGCCACGACATTCCCTGGGCTTCGAGGCAATCGATAATGTGCCCATGGACATCCATTATGAGCAAATAGACACCTGGACCAGTTTGCAAAACATACATCAGGCTGCAGCCTCTACAGCCCAGGCAACAAATCTTTCTTCATCTTCATCTACACAATGCCTTTTAGAAGCTACAAACAGCGAACCGGACTTCGGGGTAAGTAAACCCAAATTACTAGATATTTGTGATAATACCTAAAAATATTAGAAATGCATTTACATGTGTAGCTCAGATTTCTGGGGTTTGTATGGGTTTGTTTTGACTCAACTCAGTTGTTTTTGGGCAAAATAAGAATGGTTGTCGGAAAAATTATTTGCTCACACATTATTCGAGAATTGAAATACATTGTTTATGAATATTTTCCATTTAAAATGTACATTTTAAAAACTACTTATACTTGTAAGAAAGGTTTTTAAACAAGAAAAACCTGAAAGGCACGTGATATGCAGTATGTGCAAAGTAAAAAATTTTACAGGCAGAAAGAAGCAGAGCCTACAAAGTATATATACTTGTATTCTTGATCAGAATGACGAGAAGAGCTAATTTAGTCCTATCAGTCTGTCCGTCCATATGAATATCTAAATGTCAAAATTTTCCTTTTGAGCCGTTTCGTCTTAATTTCTAAATTAGAACATGTTCATATACTAAATGTACATGTGTATGTTTATCAGATTGATCATGAAAGAATCAGAAATATATTTTACAAATTCAATGCCGTCAATTCAACGTGCTAATGTTTCTGTCTGTCTAGATAATTCCCCAATGCCGACCAATTAGACCCATCTTCATAAAGCATATACATAGTATTCAACAAATGTGACGCAATATTTATTCACGTGTATTTATTGTTTGAACCACTGTGCCTTTGTTTTGTTATCGCCTTTGCCAAAAATAAACGACAATGCCGCAAATTTGTTTAGCGGCCAGGCCAGGGCAGCAACATTTACCTGCCCACCGTTCTGTTACCTGAGCGCCGAGCTTATCGCGCCGCCGCTCGCGATGCTCCACGATAAGCGTGTGCGATACTGTTTTGTGGCGACATCGGACACACACACACACATACACACACAGACAGAGGCACAATCACTCGCTCGCATGCCTTGTCATTATCGCATTGGTGTGAGTGTGTGATTTCCTTTGCCACAGTTGGGCAACGGCCGGCAAACGGATCGCTCAGTAGTCGCTGCGACGTTTTTGAAATAGGTGCCAGTCCCTCCAGCGTTTGTTTCTGTTGTGTCCATAAAAGTTACATTATTTGCGAGCTAATTCAAATTTTTAGAACTGATCTCCGTTTTGTTTTGGTGTTGTTAATGGCGCTCACGTCACGTCTGATAAGAGCGGAAATAGCGACGAGCTTATGTTGCTAAAAATAATCACCAATGTCCAAGTGACGTCATACGCGTAGTTAGCGCTTCAATGCTACACGAAAAACAGCAACATCAGCGGGAACGACAGCTCCAGCGCCGCCGTCGTCGTTGTCGTCGTTGTCGACGTCGACATCGCATTTAATTCAATCTAAAGCAATTAATGGGAAAAAAATAACCGAGTACCATTTGGTGTCGTCGGCGTCGTCAACTGACCTTTGCGTACGCAGGCAGCCCGCCTGCCATTTACAGTTTCAGTTTAGTGTGATTTGAAGTTTTTTACAACGCGCGATTGAGATTCGTGCGCGGTTTCACTTTCGCTGCGCTGTCGCTTTTGCTTCATTTTCTTCACTTATTCAATTGCCCGGCAGTTGACGGCTGTGTTTATAAATCCACATATGCAAATTGTCAATACGCGCTTTCAATATTTTCAACAAAACAAAACAAAAAAGCTGTTCCATAAAAAGTTCACCCAAAAGTTCAAGAGCCCACACGCCCGGGTCTGCTGTCGACTGCTGTCTGATTTCTGAGTTCTGTGTTGTTTGTCAGTTTGAATGTGTTCAATAAAACTTTTTCGTATGTGACTTCAATTAAGTAAATAAATGTTCATTAAGTGCTGCATTAACAATACAAGAAAATATTAAAATCTCTCGCAAAGCACGCCATAAATAAAAGGGTTCAATTCCCTAAACTCACTTCCCAGAGTAAAGATGTCGTTCCGAGAACTTGTTTGTGGCATGTACTCGGAGGAGAATGCGGTAAGCTCCCAGTTCAGTTAAAAGCAATGTAAATATTTGAGATATGAGATATGGGGTGATCAGCACCAGAGGTGTTCAGCCCCTTTGTCGTATGATACAACCATCTGCTCGTTGTAATTGTGGACTAAAAAAATAGGCTATAATTATCCCAGCTCTGTAATTAACTTAGAAAAACTAAGGCGTAACAAAAATTAAAGCATTTAAACATGCACAGGTTTCTCCTTGGCGGTATATATACATATACGTATATACTTTAGCCCGAAATATCAAAGATAAATATAAATTTGAAGGTAAAATAACGACCTATGGATTAATCTATTTACTGCCGTTTATTAAATAAATAATGACTAAGTGTCGTACCATGAAGTGCCAGTGGCATGTATTTGTGCCATATTTATTGAAATATTGCTTAATTGCATCGATTCCTAAGTAGGAAAGTAATATTATAAATAAAGTGACCGTGACTCCAGGCCAGTAAACTGTAATTGGAGTAAGAATGTAGAAAGATCACGAAGTTACCTTCGTAGGTCGATGGATAAACTGTACTTCAATATTTTTGAAAGCCAATTACATTCTTTGTTTTAACACACACAAGTTATGGGAGCGAACGACAGATAAAATAAGTAGTGAGTTTTTAATTTTCTATAGTTATAGATTAGACTATCAGAATGAAAATATTCCAACTATCGACTCAATCTTCATATGTGTATTGTTATTGTATTGTTGTAAATTCTTGGAATGAACATGACTTCAATTCTATTATTAACTACTTCGGCCAACCCTAATACTCTTGCACTCAGTATTGAAGAACTATTTTAAGACATGTCGCCCCATTTAGGTCTTCGCAAGACCAAGGCATTCGATTATAAAACCATACATAAGAAATGAGAAATACTGCACGCAATCGGCGGATTGGCGGGGAAGGCGGTCTGTCAATTGGCGGCTCTAACAGGTTGCTCTGTTGATGAGAGGGTCAGAGCTCAGGCTCAGCAATTTGGCGGCAAGTTGCGCAATGTGGCATGGCACATGCCGTCACAGGTGCAACGTTTTGGAAAACAACCCCCATAGTCGCTGTCTGCAGTACTCGTATTCGGAGGGTGCACAATGATAATGAACGTTACTTTGAACAGGTTCTTCACTGGTTTGCTTCCTTCCTGCCGTCCGTCATGGGAGCTGCGCACCTGACTTAACATTTGACTTCACTCGACTAGCAGGTTGTCTAATTAACAATTCGGTAAGCCACCAACGGTCTCTAGATTTCATCCAATTGTAACGTATTTGCCAGCTGACGCTGTCAAAATACCTCACCATATGATTGTGGTCTCAATAATCGTATGCGACGCATTCTGTATCTCTAAGTGCATTTGCATCTATCAGATAAAGACGTTGAATTACGCAAATGCCATATCTCTTGAGCTTTATTTGTGCACAAATATTTGCACGCTGTCGTTGATTCGGGCTATCAATGCACTTGCATACCAAAGGCCAAGGCGAAAACGCGCAGAATTGTATTTATAAGTAATTAAAAATTAATAATAACACCAGCGATAAAAACACCGTACCAAGTCCGTCAGAAATGTGTGAATTGGTGCTAATAAAAAACTAATGCATCGCAACCAATGGAAGACCTACAAAGCAGTCGCAATAAGAAGAGATTACCAATCAATTGATGATCTGAACATTGAATAGCGATGGTGTTTATTTTTCATTCTAATGCTGTAAGCAATTCTATAAATTTGCAAGCCTTGTTTTCTTCTATTCTCTGTTTTCAATATAAATCTATTACTTGTATATTCTAAAATTTAAGTACGAAATGGAAGGTCCAGAGATAAATAAGTTCAGGCAGAACTGATGATATTACATTCTTCTATACTGAACCAAACAAAATATCTGATCTAGTGGCGTAAACGAAAACATAAAGCAATATTTGGTGAAATAGACGGGCCTGTTTCCGCTTTCGAATTCCATCTAATGGTGCGGAATCAAAATTTTATCAAGTTCTGAAAAACTTTAGGGTTAAGGGTCCTTAATATTGTATTGGAAGATTTGCATTTACTTCCAATTTCACATAATTACATCGAATGCGCAATCGAGGACTAGTTTTTAGCATAAATGATCAGTTTGTGGTTCTTATTACATGCTACATGTCAAAGTTGGAAAGGGCACTTTTAAAGCTAAAACGCTTTATAAATTAATAGAGCGTGTGCAGCGGCTTGGCAGGAGAGAAACACCTGACTCTGATGCCAAGCCCAATGACTAACCACCGCCAATAATAACAACAGCAACAACCACTGCTTCAATAACGATGTAAGCCGCTGGCGCTGGCCACCACCGCCGCTGTGCGCACGCGCTCTTTGTCGCTCAACAGCTGCTGTTTTTGTTGTTGTAACTGGTGTAGCTGCTCACCTGAGCTGGGCTCAGAAATGCAAAACGTTAACACGACTCACAACGGCTGAGTCAGTCTTCAAGCGTCGTTTGTGCGCAGCGCGTCACAAATTCTGTTGAAACGAAAATTCACTTTTCAAACTGACTATGAGTTCTATATAAAGTATTGCCGCGAATATATCATATACGTACTCGTATGTGGCTGGGCCGACGACCCAGACCCAATTTTTGTATGCTCGAAACTCATCGCCTCACCTACCGGGCAATGTTCTATGCCAAAAAATCACAATAAACACGCAATTGAACTTTAGTGGCCGCATGTGTCTAAAAATAAGCTCGCGCGTAAACAGCAGAAACAGTCAAATAACAAAAAACAACAAAACGCAACAAAGAACATTGAAATATTTTTCCATTTTTAATAAACTGTGCGAAATCAGATCATATACTTGTACACACATACACATGTATGTACGAGTACATATGAATAACATAAGTCGTGGCCGCAAAAATACCTTGAAATGATTAACAAAAATAAATGCCGAAGTACGTCATTAAAAATCGCGTAAAATTCGTTGCTCTATCAGAACGCATCAAAACACGCCCACAGCACAGAAATCGCGTGCAAAACGCAAGCAAAACGCGTTTGCCA